GCAGGCGGGCGCTGCCCGCGGGCTCCAGATGATGAAGGCTCCTGTTCAACTGCTGGGTGACTCAGGCGTGAACTGAAGCGTCGTTCTGATGGCGCCGTGGCGCTCGGCGGTGGCCACGCCGCCGCTGCACCCCTCACCCCCTCGCGCTGTTTCGCCCGCAGGTGAGACCGACGCTTCGCACGCAGAGGTAGGTGCGTCCCCGTCGGGGAGGGTCCGTCCCAGGGAACCGCCCGGGCCCCCCGCACTGCAAGGTATCTGCGCCCCGCAGCTCGTCCTGCCGGGCGTTCCAAGGCCAGTGCGACAGCAACCCAGTACCTGGCATCGTTGGTTTTCTTGGCCTCGTGCACGTAAAACCTGGTATTTCTATTGGCACATTGCTCACCGCAGCCGCTGGGGCCCACGGGGAGAGCAGCCACGGCAGTGGCCGGCCACGCAGTGACACGGCCTCTCTTCCAGGCCCCCCGGAGCGTCCAGCAGGCAGCAGAGCTGCACCCCGGCCCGGAGGTGAGGTCCCCGGCGGCACACCCTTGGCGCCCGGCCTCACTCCCGCTGGCACGGGCACCCTCGCCCGTGGTGCCCGGGAGTCGCGGATGTGGCCACACGGAGACAGGTCGTGCTTCCACCACGGCAGGCCGCTTGCGGTGGTGACAATGAGGCCTGTGACACGTCCCGGCTGCCCCCTGGGCGTGGGGGCCGCAAGACCCGCGACTCCCGCCCAGCAGCGTCTCCGCCTCCCCTAGGCCTCCCCACCGAGGACACGGGCGCGAGGCCAGGTAGGTGCCCGTGGCGGGGCCATGCGGCGAGGCGCGGTGTGGTGATGACGGCACGCGTTCAACTGCTCCGAGCAGGCTGAGAGACACGGCCTTGCTGAACACCGCCCGGCGCAGGCAGGGGCGCGGGCCCTGCCGCCGCCCCGCGTGGACACGGCTGTTCTTTAGCTGCAGCCCAGGTCCTCGTGGTGGCCCCGTGGGACTGGACAGCGGCGTCTCCCGGACCTCGGCAGGTGAGCGGCCGCCCTCCCGGGCCAGCCCACCAAGGTCATTACCAAGGCTTGTGGGGTGCAGTTCCCCATTTGCTGTGGACATGACCGCAAAGTAAAACTCCACTTGGTTCGGTTCGGCTCCTTGGTCAGCGTCCGGCCCAGTGGGGACAGGGCCGCCTGTGTGGGCAGCGCCCATCTGCGGTCTCTAAAGCCCCCCCCCCCCATTGCCGTTTCAGGGCCAGCGGGCACCGGGGCCGCAGCGACAGGTACGTGCAGGTCTGCGCGCGACGGGTCATTTCAAAGAGGGCCTCTGGGC